AATAATGGTATACAGGAAATCATATCCAAGTAGATTACATAGTGGAGAAAAATGTGTTTCCTGCTATCAAAGACATAGATATGACATTAATATATGTCCAAATTCTTCAAAATTATTTATTGAAATGGATCATGTAACTCCTATAAGAATTCCTTAACTAATAAAACCAGAGAAAGTTCTAAAACCCAGTTAACTAAATTATCCATATATTCGTGTCAAAAATCTTTCTCCAATTAGACAAATTCTTTGATTATTATACCTAAAATGGCACTTCAACAATTATAGCATCTATTCACAAACTGCATATCCTTTGGAAGATATGAAGCCAAACCAATATGGTCAAGTACATAAAGAGAATACAAGCCTCAGATCAACCATGGTTTAACAGTTTACTCATGGTTAGTTGCTAACTCCCCAAGCAACTTAGTGTACATGAATACTATATTTTCCCCAGATCTGTGCATAAAATGGATTAACTGTACAACAGAATAAAAGCTATTCTGAACTGTCTGTTGCTTAATTATTGTAAACATTCTCTAAAGCCAAACGTTTGTTGGCAAATCCAGGAAGAACCCCTTACTAAGCAAGCTGTTCTGTCAAACAGGTTCTTAGCAAATAATCACCCATTGTAAGCATCAGTTTTCTATAAACGCTACATTATATGACTGAATCTCTTACTGCTCATTCTTAAAATACAATACTTTCAAGGAAGCTGCATCCCTATGATGTGGCATTAATTGGTTTTCTTAGCATTTCAGAAAGCAGCCAATTAAAAGCCCTTCCGAGTGCACCATATTCATCAACTGCACTTACAAAACCTCCTCCACTCAACAGATGGAAGATCTAGCTCAGTGGTTCTCAACCTTTTTAATGCCACGACCCCAACCGGTCGTAAGTCGAGGACTAAACCGGTCGTATGTCGAGGACTAAACCGGTCGTAAGTTGAGGACTAAACCGGTCGTAAGTCGAGGACTACCCAACCGGTCGTAAATCGAGGACTTTCCCTGCCCGGGAGCGCCGTGCATGCGTGGTTCCGCCCCCTGCGCCGGCCGAGGCATAGCTGGCAAGTGGCAGAGACGGAGCAGGCCGACCACCAGCTGGCCCAGCCCAAGGGAGGTAAGGCACCCGCCGGAAAAGGGGAAAAAAATGGCGGACAGCCTTGCTTGGCGACCCCCGTGAAATGGTCGATCGACCCCAAATGGGGTCCCGACCCACAGGTTGAGAACCACTGATCTAGCTATATGTAAATAACTCATAGTTCAGTTCAGATCAGTACAAAGCATATTTCATCCACCTCAATGAACTACTAAACAAAGCTTTAAAAACACACACAATTTGGGTAGATTTTAATATCTCGTTATAGTAAACAAAAATCATGCCCTGAACCAATCAGAGCATAAATCTTCTAATTGGGCTTTTAATGTATTTCAAATCTTTGAAGACTTCAAAGTTATAGTTAAAGCCAGTTTAAACATCAGTGTTTAAAAACAAAAACAAAAGCAAAGAACAGGGGAGCAGATATTAGCTCTCCTGCTTAATGCAACAAGGCTTTTTGAAAGTGAAGCAAAGTAGCCCTATCTTAATACTCCTAATCAAACCATTACCTCCCGGAAACAGAGCGCACTTGCATGTGAATTCCCCTAGAAATAAATTACCTATAATTTCAATGACATCATATAGTTTTCAGCCTCAGAAAATATGGTGAAAATATGGCCAGATCTTCTGCACTTAAAAAAGAGCTGCCCAACAACATGTCACAAGTCCACATTTCTAGTAAGTCAGCATCATGATTAAACGATTCCTTTCTGTTGTTATCCATGGCAAAGCAAATAACCAGCTGCCTTCTACAGCTTAGAAAATGAAATGCAGATAAATGAGATGTATTTGATGATGGAGAAAACATGACATAAGAACAGCACAAGAGCTTCATATTCCAAACCACTTCATATTCCAACTCCAGATATGGTTGGATGCAGTTCTTATCACTCTCAACCAATACAGTCAATAATAGGGGTTGTAACTCAGCTGCAGCTGAGACTCAGAGATTGACAATAGACAGTCTAGATTCTAGAAAAACTTAAGAATGGTGGGATTATTTTTCTTCTGATATGTCTTCTGATTCTTCTAAATTATTCTGATTTTAACAGAAGGATGACATTAATGATATAATCCTACTAGTACCAAATGAAATTTATACCCAAGGGGGCATTAAATACAGTAGGGATTGTGCTTCCACAAAAATATTAAAGATAAAGTCAATACTTATATTGGCTACATGCTGAAATGTAGCTTTAAAATGTTATGTCTTTGAACAAAAGCGATTAATTTTTTTTCTGTAACAATATTCATCCACTTATATCTCTCTCTGTTATAGAACTGACAGTTTATATCTTGTACATACAAGCAGTGCAGACTCTAAAGAGCAGGGCTTTTTTTCTCATAGAACGCCAGAACGGAGTTCCGGCACCTTTTTTGGATGGAACCTTGTAGGGTAGGCAAGGTGGGTTGTATGACGTGTGTGAGTTCCGGCACCTTTTTTTTTTTTTAGAAAAAAAAAACACTGCTAAAGAGGCATACATTTTCATTTCATTTATACTTCTGGTGGGGTGCCTTTGAGCTAATCCCTCTCTCTTGCCCAACCCACCTCGCAAGGTTCTTGTTGTGGAGAAAACAGGAGGAGGAAGATGTGTTGAATATGTTCACCACCTTGAGTTATTTGTAAAAATAATAAAGGCAGGATACAAATAAATAAATAAAATACATTTTAATCTAAAAAAGCTGTTGTTTAATTTAATTCTGTGTAATAGGATCTCCCTGCCTTTAATGAAAGTCAAATGTTATAACAACCTAATATTATAACAAAGAGATTTTTTTTAGCTTGGGCAATCTCCAAAAAATACCCAGGTGAGGCTAGGAAACCCCCAAAACTCCAGGGCTACACTTATCTTAATACTCAATACAAACATGCTTATGAAATGATACATTAATACTTTAAGCTTTTGTTCTGGAATTGTTTTGTAAAATGACTCTTTCAAATATATAGATGCCATGTGTAAGTAAAAAGATGTTTTCTGCAGAACAAGTCAGGCTTGGAAAAATTGATTTTGGCATAAAATCTGATTAAACATTATCTTTAGAATAAAAATAAACTATATATTTTTTCATTACTTTTGACAGGCAGACTGTCAAAGCTCCAAAACAAAAATTTCATTATATTGATAGAACATGGTAAAGGACTAGGGTTCCTCTGCAGTTCTCAGACTGCTGTTGAATGAGAAATGGACATGAGTAATGAGAATTAAACATTTTTGTTTTCTGTGGACAATAAATGTGAAAAGAATAGACCGAAAGTGCCAGAAAAGTACAGTGGAACACACCAAAAAAAAACCCTAGAAATCTTTCAGCAGTTTTATCAAACAGCTGTACAATCAAAATAAATGTTGCCAATTTTTAAAGAATTCACTATAAGATGAAGAAAGAGCAGAACATCCATTTGCTATAATTGCTGAGCAGGAGAATGCATAAAATAGATGTAGAGAGCTATTAATAGCCCTCAAATTATAAGGACTATTAAAAATGGAAGTTTGAGAGTAATAGGGAGGATACCAATACAGTAGCAAGTCATCTCTCTTAAAAGCTGGAACTATGTGTTGTCGGTCACAAGGGAGTTTATTTAAAAGCCCCTGTGAAGAGCAACAATAAAGCAGTAATAGACAAAATGAATGCATTTGCAGACAATAATGAATATGGCTTTTCACCCATAATAACATGGTGATTATGTGCATAGGTTTTCAGAACAATGGTTATCTGGATATAGAGTTAGCCTATTACATATGTATTTATTAAGAAATCTGTGAAGCTTACTCTTCAGTAAATTTTCCATATTTCTACTGCAGAGTCTGTTATAATATGCAAAGAAATTGTAAGTTCAAAGGAGCACACATTGGACATAAACTTGCACAATATGGGATTCTAATAAAACATAATTACAAGGAGTTCTCAAATTCTCAACAAGTACAGAACGCTTTCTGATGCCTGAATATGCAAGTAAGAAAGAGCAAAGGGCAAAATTAGTATGCCTATTCCTTAGTTCTAATTGTTTAGGTAAATATCTGAAGAAATCACTCAGAAGACCAATATCCACATTAATACAATTTCAAGAGCTACCGGTACTTAATTTCGTTGTGAGTTACACAATGACAATAAAGATATTCTATTCTATTCTATTCTATTCTATTCTATTCTATTCTATTCTATTCTATTCTGTTCATTCACTGGGTAATATAAAGCCATTCCTTGCATATATGTCAATAATATGGATGAAGGAATTTTTCCACTGAATGGACAATTAGATCCCCTCACAAAAATACCCTCACATCTCTGTCAAACATCTTGAACAGCTTTGTCTGTGATAAGAGGGAGCCCTCTGCCTCAAGTTAGTCTATCATTGGTGATCTTTGAAGGTAAGCCTCTAAAACTATATCAACATGTAAGAAATCATGTTTAAAAGAATGTGCTTGAAAAGTTCTTGAACTTTTCATTCTGCACTATTATATTCAGAGAAAATTATATTTTATAACAAATTATGTTACTCATATCAGCCACTGAGAAATGTAGCACTCCAAATTTTCAACAAAAAACACCACGCACATACAGTATACCAAATGGATCAGATTTGGTAACCATGAAATTCAAGACAGTCTGTCTCTTCCTCATCGTCTTTCCTTGACTGAACTTTCAGAAATCTCTAAAGCCCCAGAAATGTAACCAATATATGGACTTTCAAGGCATTTGCTACAAGTTGAAAAGCTGCATCTCATTCTTATATTAAAACAATTAAACTGGTAATAACTTAGAACTTGAATTTTAAGAAAATGTTATAATCAGTTGAAGCAATAATTTTAAAACACATGTAAGTAGAAAGGTGAAGAATGGGGAAAAGGAAAACCAGCAAAGGACTGTAGTCTCCTTCATTCCACCTTTGGAGGACAGCTTTCACAGTGACATGGATCATGTGCAGGGAAGATGGAAAATTTTGAGAATGAAAGGGATCAATGGCAAACATTCTAGACATCATCACTGCAGCACAGGCCTGAAAAGGGGATTGGAGGCTTGTTTTAGCTAAATGCCATTTTGTCATCACCAAAACATAAAGAAAACAAAACTATGCTAAATCATCCTACAAACACACACATACTTTCAGGACATCTTATCCACCCATAACAATTCAGGAGCTTGCACAAACACCAACTGCTGGACTAAATACTATTCTACAGAAGCAAAACAGTGGTGGGAGGGGGGCACAGCTCTATGATGGACTTTTATGGAAATGAATGTCTAATGGCAAGATTTTTTTATTTTTGATTCATTTTTTTCCTTTATTGTACTTTCCCTCTTTAAGGAGTCCAGTAATATTACTATAAATTGTACATTTGCTTGGCACACATACAAAAACAATTACCCACCCACCACATGCCAAAAGTAAGCACTTTGATGTATTACATATGCTTCTTAAGAATTTAAGAATGAGGCTTGCTTCCATGCAAGTATACAGAACTGGCTGTCAAGGTTGCAAAACTACACGCAGGTAAAGGACTTGCTTCTCAAACTAAAGATGAATCAAAGCCAGAGCACTGCAGTGATTGATGTACCAACTATGCTTCACACTCACTGAAGGAAAAAAAAATGAAAGAAAAACAAACAGCTACTCCATGACTTGTTGGGGGAGGAAGTTTCAACTGAACCTGATATTTAGTAAATGGGTTTGGTATTAAGCATGTTTTCCTAGAGATCTTTTGCAATATCTTTTGCAAGATTTTTTTTTCCATGCCGGCCTGAGCGCTTCTCATTTGAAAAGTTAAGCATTGCCTTTAGTTCAGAAAAGTAGCGCCCCGCCCCCTTTTCTTCCAGCCCTCTTCCCACCAAGCCGGTGACAGGCCCGTCGCCTCTCCCCCCTTCTCCTGCTGCAGCGTCCTTGCTTCCAGGAAGACGGCATGCACGGGGCGCCTCCCTTAAGCAAACCGAGGGCCCAGGGGAGCGTCTCTGCCTTCAAGACAACCCCAGCCTAGCCTATCCCCAGCGGCTACTCACTCGGCGTATCCCGTGGTCCAGGGCAAGCATTCGGTCTCCTTTTTGAGAATGAGGATGGGTCGGGCTATGTGATCGGCGGAGCACTCGACCTCGTCCTGAGAGAGCCCCAGGAACTCGGGTCTGCCGTAAGGAAAACGGGGAGGCAAATCCAAGCCCCCGCCGGGCTCCGAACCCGAGCTGCCAGACATTATGCCTCCCACCAAATTGGCCATGGCAGACTTCATCCGAGTGAGCATATTACAGTAGTCCCGCCGTTCGCGACACCCACAGGGCCATCCAAAGCGGGCAGGCGCGCAAGGCTACGGCACGGCAGGTCTCACGCTGCTACCGTCGTCCCTGGAGCAGAAACGCTTCCACCGCGGAAGGGCTGCATGGAACGGGTGGCAAGGAAATCACCCGCGGAAACCGCCGAGCCGGGGAGGAGGAGAGGCGACCAGCCACCGTGGCACTACCATGACACCAGTGGCGGTCGCCGATCCCCGAAGTCGACCCAAGCCGAGCGGCTTGCGCGGCTCCACACGCTGCGTCACGTGACGACAGCCTGCCCGGCTCGGTCGGCCACGGGAACTTCCTGCTCTTTGGGCTGCGGCAGCGCGCTCGCCGCCAGTGCGATGCAGTCCCGGAGATCTTGCGGCGGTGGTGGGCCTTGTTGTGGGTAGGGAACGTCGCCTCGCATCCGAGTAGGGAAAGCCGAGGGGTTGGGGAGGCAGAAGGGAATTGGCTTAAGGGCAAACGGCGATTCCATATCAGTCTTCCCCGAGTACAAAGTTGCCACGCATTTCTACTTCAGCTTGGAAGTAGGCCCGCTTAAATTGAATCACTCCCTGGAGGTGAGTGTAGGTTGCAGCCTCAGGCTTAAATGTTTTAAGAAGCACGGCAATTTTCAAGTTGGGAGTATTTTTTTAAAAAAACTTTTGTAACCGGTGCTCTTTTTACTCTGTGTGTCGTCTGTCCCTTCATTAATTCTTTGAGTTTTTTTAAAAAACGGATTTTATGAATAAAGAGTTTAGTTTTGCAGTTTTTTTTTACAGGCGGCATGGTTCTCCCAGGTTACACCTATTAGGACCTGATCCATTCATTGCAAAGTGCTTCAAGATTGGGGGGGAGGGATGCATACAGAACATCTGATCTGCTTGTTTTTCTTATGTTAGGTCCTGTGCTATTCCTTTTATTATATTTATTAACCGGTTGACCTCTCAGCATATATGAATCCCAAGTTAGTTTGCATGTAAAAAGACTACTTTTAAAGTCAGAATGAACTACTGCAGATGCATAAAGCATCTATTTTACCCATAAAAGCTCCATCCCCAAGTTTGGGCTCATTCCTAGAGTGCTGTCTGACAGCCCACACAGAACCAAGCGCCTGTCCTTAGTCCAATGAAAGATGCACCTGCCCAACAAGTCAACACAAAGCTTGACAAAGAAGGAAAATTTTGAGAAGTCTGCAAAGAGAAGCTCCACCAAGCCTTTATTTTAGGATTGTAAAGGAAAGAGAAAATCATGCTTTGGATGCAGGGAAATACAAAATATGTTTTATTATAAAAATTTAAACAGCAAATTAGTCATGAACACATCAGAATCTTTAGTAGCTGATAATGAGGACTAGGTGATGAGAGAGAGGAAGTGTGAATTCTAAATGCTGTACAAGCTAGGTAAGAATTGTTCCAGTTTTTAAATTACTAAAGCTTTAGGAAAAGAAAAAAGTATGTAACAAGCATTACACACTGGATACCTGTTCTGATCACTAAGGCCTCATCTTCATAGTCTGAGAATCATAAAGCTGAAGAAGCCATGTAGTCATGGGGTTTGGTCTTCTGCTCAGTGCAAGCACCCAAATTAAATAGTGCCTTAACTGGTAACTGATGGCTTCTGCTTGAATGCATCCAGTAAACAGAAATCTGCCAGTTCTCTGGGTAATTCCATTACCAGATTGCTCCTAATACAAGGAAGCTTTTTTCAAATGTTTTATCATAACCTACCTTCTAATAGATTAAATCCATTATTTCTCATCTCTCTTTTGGAAAATCAAAAACAGGTCTGACTTTCTGTGTTAAAGCCTATCATAAACTTGAAAAGTGCTTTATCTATTAAGACTAAACATTTCTACTTACTTCAGTCTCTTTTTATGGAACCTGATTTTCAGATCCACTTATTGCTCATCTCTTAAATCTATTCCATCTCTTAATCTATTGTCTAAATTTTTCTGTTATGCTTAGAAGTAGACACAATGTTGAGGTAGAACAGACATGTCAAACACAAGACCCGGGGGCTGGATGCGGCCCGCGAAGTGGTTTCATGTGGCCCCCGAAGCCATCCTGGAAACAGTGAGGGAACAGCCCCCTCTGCCTTGGCCCTGGCCCAGGCCAGCTGGGAGCCAATGTACAATTTTGTGGTGGCCATCTATGCTGAAACGCATTCAGTCTTAGCTCCATAAGCTCCCCCCGCATGGCCTGAGAGGAACAGTGAGGCTCCTCCAGTGGACCATGCCTTGGCACTTGTCCTGGTCCCACCCCTTTCTGCCAGAGACCCTCAGATCTATCCAACTCCTGCCCAGGCCCCCACAGGCACCCTTGACATGAACGATGTAGAGCTGGCCATGCCCACCCAATAGGCCATACCCACTCAATCCACGCCCACCCAGTAGGCCGCACCCACCCTGGCCACACCCACCCGGCCCCCTGAGGGCAACCGCAATGCTGATGCGGCCCTCAATGAAATTGAGTTTGACACCCCTGAGGTAGAAAATAGCCAACACAGAATATAGTCAACACAGATCATACTTCTCATGATTTGGATATTATGTTTGTTTTGATGCCTATTTTTTATTTAGCAGCAATATTACTATTACTGCTCACTCATTCTGTTTGCCATAAGGTACAATTGCAAGGTATTTTTCAACCCTGTTGTGAATTTGCCATTTCTATCTCCAGTCGTACTTAAGAGCTATTCTACCTCAAAGAGCAACTGTGAGCAGAAAATGCTGCTGCAACCCAATTATTGTTATCTGATCATTTATTCCCATCAGTTTCACAGAATAGATGTGTGCTATTAGAGAAGTTCTCAAATGCCATTTTAGTGGTAGACATAATATTGATACAACTTCACGCAGTGTGAGCTATTAAATAATGAATAGTATAGGAGAGATAAAGGCTAATAAAAATGAAGTACAGTGGCCAGCAGTGTTTTCTATTGCTAAAAGGTACAACAGTTCTTCCTTTGTGTAGATCATAGTTAACTGCCTCTTGGCAAATAACTTTTTATCTAATGAGAATGTAAAGCTCCTAATTAAGGTCAGTGTTTTCTAATACTGTCCAATGGGGTTGCACTGCCTCTGACAAAAAGTGTACAATCTGGGGGTATCCTTGGATACACAGCTTCTAATTGTGCATTTGGTTGCACCTGTTCTTAGACCAGAAGTCCTGCTCATTATTATTCATGTGCTAGTTACCTCTTGACTGGACTACTACAGCATGCTCTACATTTCCAGCTTTGCAAACCGGCGGAGAGGGGAGAGGGGATGGTTCTGTGTATGGGTAAACAAGCACATGCATGCATTTGTGCAAGTAGCGGGCACACACGACACTCACACAAATGGAGCTGCGCTCCCTGTCTGCTGTGCATGCAAGTGAAACTGCATGTATTTGCATGGGCTTCCCCACCACTTCCACAGCCTGGTTTTAAACAGGCCACGGCCCAGTAGTGAGCTGCAACCCGGGGGTTGGGGACCACTGCTCTACATGGGACTGCTCTTGAAGAGCATTTAGAAACTTCAGGTGATACAGAATATGGTGGCACAGGCAGTTAATGGCACCTGTTATTTGGCATTACTGGAGAACATCGATGCTGGCATCAAAGTAAACGGTGTTTGGATCAACAACTTAAGCTGACGATATAGTTCTGCTTGCCAGTAAGCATGAAGACCTTCAGCTCCTCATCAACAGAGTCACAGAAATATTTGGAAAATACGGCTTGAAGCTTAACACCTCAAAAACCAAGATCATGGTTGTCAGCAAACAACCTGTTAATTTACCATCAATAAATTCAGAAGGAATACCACTAGAAAAACTTGAAAGGATCACACATCTCAGTTTTCCAATTTACATGAAAGCTGGGACATGACCGTTGAAGTAAAGACAAGGATAGAAAAAGCTCGAACAGCATTCTTCAAAATGAAAAAGGTCTTCTGTAGTCACAACATAAGCCTGAGACTGAAAATCAGGCTTGTCAGATGCTATATTTTTCCTATCCTGCTCTATGGAGTAGAGAGTTGGTCTCTGACAGAAGGCCACCTGAAGAGACTAGAAACATTTGAAATGGGAATTTACAGGTGGCTATTACGTATAAGCTGGGTTGACAAGATCAGAAATGAGGAGGTGATAAGCCGCTTGGGAAAGCCAAGGGAAATCATCAAAACAATTAAAAAATAAAAATTAGAATATTTTGGACATGTGATGCGACACCCAGAAAAATACGGCATACTCCATTTAATCCTCCAGGGCAGTGGTTCTCAACCTTTTTAATGCCGCGACCCCAACCGGTCGTAAGTTGAGAACTAAACCGGTCGTAAGTCGAGGACTACCCAACCGGTCGTAAGTCAAGGACTTTCCCTGCCCGGGAGCGCCGCGCATGCGTGGTTCCGCCCCCTGCGCCAGCCGAGGCGTAGCTGGCAAGCGGCAGAGACGGAGCAGGCCGACCACCAGCTGGCCCAGCCCAAGGGAGGTAAGGCACCCGCCGGAAAAGGGGAAAAAATGGTGGACAAAAAAAATGGCGGACAGCCTTGCTTGGCGACCCCCATGAAATGGTCGATCGACCCCAAATGGGGTCCCGACCCACAGGTTGAGAACCACTGCTCCAGGGAAAGATTGAAGGCAAACGAGGTCCAGGCAGAAGAAGAACATCATGGCTTCAAAATCTAAGGGACTGGTTTGGACAAAACTCAGCAGCACTTTTTCGTGCGGCTGCTGATAAAAACAGGATCACCAACATGATCGCCAATGTCCGATAACGGATATGGCACAACAACAAGAAGAAGACTAGTTTGCTTCCAGGTACTATTCAAGGTCTGGTATTCATAATAATAATAGAGTTGGAAGAGACCTTGGAGGTCTTCTAGTCCAGTGGTGGCAAACCTATGGCACACGTGCCAGAGGCAGCACTCAGAGACCTCTCTGTGGGCACGTGCGCTGTCACCCCAGCCCCCCTCCCCCATGGCCCCCTCCTCACCAGCAGCCACCCGGAGGAGAGTTGCTCCTGGGCGTGGCCCGCGCTGAGCAGCGCAGCCAAGGACATGGCAGCCAGGCAGCAGGAACAAGACTCCGACCTTGTGCCCCATCGCGCGCAGATGATGCTGTGGGGCATGGGTGGCAGGTGTGGCCACCATGGCACTGCTGGGCCACCTGGGCAATCTGTGGCGAGTCCTGGAAACGGTC